AAAAAACCCATAGGAAATGAGATATTTCCAAAAAAAGCGCAAAAAACCGATTTTTGTGACCTTTGACCTTGAAATTTAATAGTTGCTTACACCCTACCATATGTAGGTTTTGAGACAACTTTTACGGTGTCAATATACGAGTATTTACAGACTTACAGCTGGGTATCTCGAATTCCGAGATTCTTACCTAATTTAAGCTTAAATGACTGGATTATCACTCATTTTGGAGCCATTCATTATATGATATGTTATGAAGGAGCCCATTCAAAGTAGTTTCCCTCTCATATATTACACGTGTACCAGAATTTTTTCCAATCCTCGAACTAGTTCTGATTTGCACTGATATGTCCTTGAGTCCTTTCAGGGATTCGGCTTTATCTCCTCAATCTTCGCAAATCGCTGTCCTTCCATGGGTCTCTTCAATTTCGGTAACAAGAAAAAATCGTAGGGGGCAAATCTTGTGAATATGGTGGCTGCAGCATGATTACGGTGTGGTTTTGGACAAAAAATTACTAACAAGCAATGCCAAGTGAGAAGGTGCATTACTGTGATGCAAACATCATGAATAGTTTTTCCACAATACCAGATGCTTTTTTCGTATTGTTTCACGCAAGCTGCATATTTTTTATTGGTACCTTGGGAGCTGCCTGACTTGTCCATTCAGTCCAAGTTTTCAGAGAACACTGCAGCCTCTTGGGCTTATTTCGTTTATTCTCCCATCTTCTCATGACACTCATTTCATCAGTCTCGTTCTCTGTACTAGTTTGTACAGGTTCCGTGTTGGATGTCCATCATATTCTTCTGGGCGTGCCTCACATTCGCATAAGATGTGTAGAGCTGTTTCTATACCTTCGTTGCATAATCTGCAGCTGAGATCTCCGTTGTACAGCCCCATTTTATTCAGGTGTCCTCTAAGCGGACAATGACCGGTTAGTAACCCTGTAATTATTCTGAGCCGATATTGAAGTAGTTCTTCAGTTCTTTTCTCGGACGGTTCCCTAATGAAGATTCGACTGAGTTTGTTGCCAGGTACTTTTGTCCAGTACTCTGTGTGCTTTTTATTGGTCCATGTCCTAATCTAGTTTCGTACCAATGCTTTTGGTACCTCCAGAGCTGGTTCAGGCTCTATATATGAAGTTGATGATCCGCGTCTAGCGCATTCATCAGCTTTATCATTACCTGTGATTCCTGAATGCCCTGGCACCCAGTACAAAGTTAATTTGTTCCTGTTTGCAAGTTCATTCAGTTCTTCATGGCATTCCCAGACCAGTTTTGATGTCACCTTCGGGTTTGTCAGAGCCCTTAGTGCGCTCTTGCTGTCTGTTAAAATATTGTTCCGCTCATTTCTTTGAGGTCTCAATTTAATAAGCCTTGCACACTGCAGGATATCATACAGTTCCGCCTGAAAGACGGATGTGTATAGTCCTAGCGGATAACTGTAGTTTAGATTTCTATCCGCTCGGTATATTCCAGCTCCCGTTCCATGTTCTTCGATCCATCTGTCTACCAGGTGTTTTTTACTAACATGTTTTATGCTGATGGAATTATTCGACTTGTATTACGTTGGCAAAAGCACACTGATTCAAATTGCGCTAATTTCGATTGAATTGAACGAATAATCATCGAGATATTACAGTTCAAATTAGACGGACAAAACTTTTGAAATAATCTCAACATTTTTTTGATGCCTGATATATTATTATTTCAGCATTAGAAACTTGGGAGAAAATATCAATAACTGGCTTAAAACCCCAACCTCGCTCTGAGAGTATAGCAATAACTGTCTCAGAACTCCTTCTGAATGGATCTTCCGTCACATCTTTTGATTCCAAGGCGACGAGAATACGCACACGTACCTGTTCTTCAGCTGACAGAGGCAATAGACATTCATCTTATCTTCCTAATAATAAGGTATGTGAAATACGAGTATGTGTGCAATATTTTACTGAAAAGTAAATCGAATGTGAACATTTTTGACATTTCTGAGAGTTGGGAAGCTGATTTCATTCAAATACGATGGAAGCAACATGAAAAAAATGAATTGTTTTAAACTGTAGAACGCCTCGCTTGTCTAGTTGAGTGAGAATTCTCTCGCGTAATACATGTGAACACCAATAAAACTGTGGAGGCCCCAGATTTTAATGAATCGAATCCTTTTACTCCAGTGTAGCTTATCTATTTAGATCTTATCTATTTTGTCATTGTTGATGCCTCATGTGGACTGAGGAATTTATTATATTATGATGCTTAAGTGACAGTTGAATAATAATTTTTCACTTGTTGAAAAGTGAAGAAGTGTTACATTTGGCGCCCAACGTGGGGCTCGATTTGAGATAAGAGTCATGCTCTACCGACTGAGGTCGCCGGGCAACGGTGAGTGACATTATAACTCTATGAGCTTCTGTCTGATGAATGAAAACCTTTTTCAACAGAGTAGCGTTCAAATTAGAGCTTAACTATTTTATCCGTGTTGATGCTGATCCTGTCACAAGAGTACTTTTGACTCAAATTACTTGGTCATCTTAAAGTTAGTCTCGCATATAACGTTTTCTTTAGTGTCAAAGAAAAAGGTCAAGCCGTGAAATTGACAACTTGATTGGTCCATGTCACATTATGCGAAAATTGATAATTTGTTAAAAATACATGCTATATTTCCCAAACCAGTGAATGTTGAATTAACTAGCTATGAAGTTACATTCAAACATATGTGCAACCAACCCATTTTTCATTTCTGTCAGTTGATGTTTCAACATGAAGCAGCCTAATTATGGCCATTAGTCTCATGTTCTGGATAGGCTATGGTTATGATCATCCTGAGTCACCTAGCCATTTAACGCAGCAGACTTATTTCAACTTCAATTAGATGAATATATCATTGAGGGCGAATTCGGGCTGACGTGACGGTCTTTAAATCGTCAGTCACTCCCAATGCTAAACTGATTTATTTTCAATGCAACAATTGGTCAATAATAATTACTAAATTGAATAAATTATTGATTGAGAAGGAGTTATGGCATCCCTCCTCACGATAGAAATCTCAATCCACGAATATCAAAGACGGTAAAAAATTCGACTTTAACCGCAGAATGAGATGCGACTTCTGTTTTTCCCTTCAACTTTCACTGTATGGCAACTAGTTGAAACCAAAGTCCAATCATTCATGATCTTCCGCCTGAAAACCACCAATCAGTGTTGCCACAAGCTATCTTTTCCAAACCATTCCTCGAAAATATTAGCTTCTACGGTCTTATGATAGTCAACATTGCAGTCCTCAAGTTTTTTTCCATATCACTTCAAAGAATTCGGACCCATCCTCCGCAATGAACAATGATTAGTCGCGATCCTTTGTTTGCAGGCTTGTTGGGTGTACACATTCTCGAACCATCAGTCCACCCTTTCGTAACTGTGTCGTGAGTGTTATACCAAGTTTTGTCCAAAGAGAAAATTTGCCGTTGTTCTTGTCTATATTTAGTTATTTGTTCCAAGTATTTGTTACGCAATTCCACTATTCTTCTGCTTTCCATAACTAATGTTTGTTTATTATTCTGAATCTAAATCCTAGTTTCTTTATCCAATTCTGAAGAGTTTTGTCACAGCAGCTCACGTTATGGCCGGAAGTATTCTATTTCTTCCTTATGATTTCTGTTGTAGGAATCTCATTGCTTTTGTAACAGTCGTATATTGTTTTTTTCAATGATTTTATTAGATAAACATCTAAAGGTTTGGGTAATCCTGAATCACATCGCGTCTTGCGTTCATTAGGTTTGTTTTTGACTATTTTACGTACAGTTTGGAAAGGAATTTCGGGAAAGTTTCTTCCCCTCGAAACCAAACTTGAGATAAATATTCTTATATACATTGAAACATACTCTGTATTTTAATATTCAAATGCATCCGAATCTTATTCACTGGTATTCTTTTTTTGCATTGTTCACCATCGCTATTGGAATCACTACACTGGAAAAAGTCTGCGTTGTTATCACATTCGTTATTACTGTTTGTACTAGTCCAAGGACGCCACATTTTGAACAGATGAGAAAATTTTTAAGTAACTATAACTGCACCAACATCGAATTTCCACACTCAAATCGCGATCAGCTCCTGAACTGAACACGACGGCGATAACCAAAGGCCGCATTCCCAGATTTCTATTCGTCAGCGTAACATGACTTCAAATTTAATTTTATGACTCTTCAGCCAATCACAAAACTCGGTTGGTAAAAATTATCCAATACGACCCGTCAAGTCTCTACAGTCCACGTGGACTAGTTTGCTGCCGGTTCATTGTTATTTTGGCCTTTGAGAGTGCCGACAACTTTAAGAGAGCACAATATCGGTTACTTCGACTATACATATACCTACATTCATATCACAGACTGAGGTTGCACATAATATAAACATTTCCATATTTACATTCTCAACTTTAACTAAAAATGTCGAATGTCATGTCACAAACATGTCAATAACATTTCACACGCACAGAGCATGATCACGGCACTCGGTATCATTGGAAGAGCAGAAGAGCATTGTAGTGTAACTCAGTACTCAGTCACAGAATATCGGAACTATCGGTGTGAGTCTTACAGTAAGACACAATCCAAGGAACCACCGCCAGCGGCGCCAGGCACTCAGTCTACGCCAACTTTGCCACGGGTACTCGGCTCGTGTAACGCGGTAGATTCAAAATCAAACCTCAAATATTTGTTAATTTTTCAATTTTTATTTTACATTCTTTTGCTTTATATCTGAGCGGGGTAGATTTACTTGAGGGGAGCGAGAGGGTGAAATTAAGTTCAAGAGGGGTAGAACTACCCCGTACGGGGTAGCTGTGGCAACAGTGCCACCAATACAATGCTGGACTCAAAGTACAAGTCTGAGTGAATAGAAGTGATTATACCTGCATGGGATTCACAAATATATGACTTGAACAAGGCTTCTAAGACGGTCCGTTGCAAAGCTAAGCTTCGACATTAACCATCAAACGAAATTTGCCTTCTGTCTTCCAGTGTAGCTTCCACTGGAAGGTAACTAGTTGAAACAGGAGCCCATCTAACCCCGAATTATCATCGGACATGGCAGTCTTAACCACGACTCAACACGCCTGACACGCCTGAGTAGCAACAAAGAGGTCTGGTGTTGGATAGCGAATTATTTGTTTTGGCCTCTGGTTTGAACTAGTTGCTTCGCAGTGAAAGATGCAGGACGATTCTCGCTTGGTGACCAATTTCGAAGCTTAACATTGCAAAGGACCGCCTTGGGAGCTTCGTTTATCTTTGATATTCATGAATTGATTATTTTGTCGATCCCATAGGTTGCGTCTTCATACAGACACAATTATGTCGCTGGAATTGCATAGGCTACTTCTCGAAATCTTGGAACACTGTTCCAAACTGAAAAACTACGCACCTCAGCAAATTTTGATGCTTTATAGAGCTTAAATCAGACCTTCTNAAAAATCAGTAATATACTTGATTTATGGGAGCGTACTGAAAAAATACAATTTTCTTTATTTTGAATTGCTGATTTGATTTATCATTTTCTTCCAAAGTACCATAACCTGAATATCTCAGAGCCAGATCAAATCATCTTGTAACCAATTGAGAATCTCCTCGTTAGTTTACTGACAATATTCACTAGATCATTGGTCGCCAACCTGTTGATCACGAGTTACCGGTAGCTCGCGAAGGCAATTCTGATAGCACTCACAACGATTTTAATTTGAAAAATACAAACTGCAAAAATCAGAGAAGCTTCCGAAAATTCCACAAAAAATTCTAATTGTCATAATATTAAACATAAACAGCGGTCTAGTTTTCACCATATTTTAATTATCTTCTCTTCATACAGAATATATCAATAGAAAATTTATATTAATACCCCCAGTCCGACGCCTATTAATATTATCCAGATAAAACATCGAGCGGTTCTTTTGGCGGTATTTTCGCATTCTTTGTCGGTGTTTTCGCGTTCTTTGTCGCATAACCGTATTTTAATGGCTCGTTAGCGGCGTCCTCAATGGATATAGAGGGTAGACATATCTCAATGATTTTGTGGGTGAATTGCAGTGCTATTTGCTTGAGACGATAATGTTGCTTTCTTTGATGTAGCGACATGTTTGCATTCTTGAAATTCTTTTACTCTCAGACAATACTGAACGAACTATAGATGGAGTGACATTTTTGTTGTTCGCTCCATCTTGAGACGAGGAATGAAATATTCTGAAAGAATTTCGCATAGCATTGACTTTAGGTCGATGATGGTCACTATCTCGCACTGATGAGTAAAAAATTGGGAATATTCAGCATTGCATATGTAAAGTGTAGTTAGTAAAAACACGCCCGAAGAAGCCATTGTATGGCGAAACACGTGTTGCGTTTTTGTAAAGCTGTTCAGTGAAAATGTTACAATGAAGTGTTTTTTTAATAAATGTTCTATATTTTTTTCAAAATATTTGTGTTTCCTTTGTTGGACTGGGTACTTCTGTCACTTGAAGTCCTTGTAGGACGAAACTGCAGTAACGTTACAAATACAAGTGGTATAAAAACATAAAATGTTTCGTTTCTCATTTTTCATGATGATGTCTTTCCACTTTGTAACGGCTACATCCATCAATTTACTGAAAGGAGACATGTAGGGTGACTTTGACATAAGAGACTGTTCGTAACTGAAGTTTAGTATTTCTTTCCTCAGAAAAATGAAATGTTTTCAATTTCTTTGCCTGTGATTGTTATTTCCCTGTGATGCGCAGTTCATTATGTGATGAAATCGTTACTGAGCAGTACAAAATTATGTTGAAGAATCATAGAAAAAAAATTGACCATTCAAAAAAAGAGTATTTCAGTAACAAATTCCTTGAAGCTGAAAAGAAATCTAAAGTTGCCTGGAATATGATTAAACAGAATACAACATTCAATAATATGAGCAATTGTTTTCCGAATTATTTTGAAACTGATGATGGAACTCGGTTTCATGGTGGTCCTGTTATTCCTCAAGTCTTTAATGATCATTTCATTGACTCTGTACATTCTCTAATCAATGATTCTGAACCTGCTGGTGAACATCATCACGATATAAAAAGAAACTCTTTTTTTCTTCATCCTTTAGACGAAACTGAACTTCTTGATATCATCAAGTCTATATCGTCTAAGAACTCTAGTGGCTTTGATAAATTACCAGGTAGAGTATTGTTGTATGTTGCTGAACTAATCATTGAACCACTTACATACCTACTTAATCTCTTTCTCCTACATCTACTATTGATTTAATTTTTTTTATGTTTGTTCCATATTTTATCACTTGATATTTTTCAACTCCAATCTTTACTGTGTATATGACTATTTCCATGCTTGTAAAAAAGTCTCAGGAAAAATAAAGTATTGTAATGTATTGTAAAAAGTTTTATAGTGAGGTAATGATGATACGTTGGTACTCAATTATTTTATGTTTCAGGTACGATGATAAAATCCAAGTCAGCCTACGTCATAAAGAAGAAATATCAAATAGACGTCTCTCCTACTTTGGACGGAGATCTCAAGGAACCCACAACTAGGAAACGGGTAGAATTCGATTTTTCTTCTATGAAAATGCCGCGTGAACCAGTATCTGTGCCAAATTTCACAATTCTGTCCCTGCCAACACCAGTATTGACGCCTGCGGAAGCTACGAAATTGGTATATTTAGACAGTGAAGAAGAAAATGATCTTCTCGATAAGCATACGAAAGCGAAAGAAAAACTTAGTACAGTTCAAGCTAACAATGAGAAAAACCTTTATGAAACATTTCAACCTATCAAGAAAGGGGACAGCTACAGTTCCCATATAGGCTACGCAGATAACCCCCTATACCAACAGCTGATAAATTCCCTGCCAGAAAAGTCACAGGAAAACGTTTCGTCTACTTCAGACTACTGCAGTATCGAAACAGTCAACAGACTTTCCTCTGCGAGCAGTTACAGCGTAAAAACTGGAACCCCACAAGACGAAAATCAGAGAATTAACAGAGATAAAAATGGGCCATTTGGTTTCTGCAATCCCAATTATATGGGACCGGATATAAAATCGATACTGAACGACAAAATAGATAAGAAAAACGTTGTTAAACTTCTAACTCCAGAAACGGTCAAATCGGATGAGGAAGATACGTTAGAACTCCAGGATTACGACGGCACCTTAGGAAGGAACACTAGAGTGTGCTTCAAACATGCAAGTAGAGTGAATCGACCTCCTAAGTCCTTAGACGTAGGTCAGAACCAGCTACAGAGCCGTTCTCACGTGGAAAAAACTAGAGCCCTTAGCGCCGGTAGGGTGGAAAACAGAATGGACAGCATTCCACCTATTCGGCCGATGAGTGGACCGGTAGAGTCTTCTGTACCCATTTATGTTTATATTATCGGCGGTAAGGAACAAGGGCACGTAACGGTTTTTAAAAGGCCCGTATCCATTTGGAAACTGAAACTCTTCTGAATTGTACCGAAATGGCAAGGAAAACGTTCAAAAAATGTGCCAATATTTTTCTGGTAGAATTAGAGTGGAATAATAGATATTAGATAAGAAATTTGGCTAGTGAATTTTGAGGTTTGTTCTTCAGATCTCATTGGGAAATACATGATATACTAGAAACCAGTTGTTAACGAATCTGTCCCGATTCATTTTAGGTTTTGCGATTATTGATGTTACATTATTTCCTCTTTTATTTTCTACACTGATGACTTTATAATCTGACCTAATGAACAGCTCATTATTAAAGAAATCTGGTGAGGTAAATGCCATGTTATTGACTTACACCTATTTAAATGACGAGCGCCCCTGACGATTGCTTCATTCAGAGAGCGACATATTGCATACTTTCAACAGATCAAGTGATTATGTTGCAAATTGGCATACTTGAATGCATGAAAAATTCGAAATATAAATTTTTTAGACACCAGTAATGCAAAACAATTGTTATCGGTAAATAACTTTGAATCAAATCATGATGGAATTATGGGATATAATATATTTTTTGATGGTTTTGGGAGATATTAGGCATTGAGTTCAATAATATGTTGATACTCTACTTTCACGCATTATTCAGTGTCATCCTCAAAGTATGCACCATATGGGAAACTTATTTATTAAGGGTTTTTCGACAAAAAATTATTCTTGATAAAAGTTAGTGCATCCCCTAGAACTGAATATGCACCAACAAAATACAGTACAACACATGTAATATACGAGGGGCCTTCAAATATTTGATTTTGTGACATATTTTCAATGCAACAATTGGTCAATAATAATTACTAAATTAAATGAATTATTGATTGAGAAGGAGTTATGGCATCCCTCCTCACGATAGAAATCTCAATCCACGAATATCAAAGACGGTAAAAAATTCAACTTTAACCGCAAAACGAGATGCGACTTCTGTTTTTCCCTTCAACTTTCACTGTATGGCAACTAGTTGAAACCAAAGTCCAATCATTCATCATCTTCCACCTGAAAACCACCAATCAGTGTTGCCACAAGCTATCTTTTCATCGAGGTAGATTTCTGAAAGGGAGCGGGGTAGAACCGGGGTGGATCCACATTCACATGACGACACCAATCACAGTGATGCATTGACGTATACCTATGATTGTCGTTCTTTGTTCTATGATCAATTTGATGACTTGACGTATACCTATGATTGTCGTTCTTTGTTCTATGATCAATTTGATGATCGTAATCAAAAACAGAAGTCACATGTCATCGCATCCAAATTTGGGATCAATGTGTTTCCAAACCATTCCTCGAAAATATTAGCTTCCATGGTCTTATGATAGTCAACATTGCAGTCCTCAAGTTTTTTTCCATATCACTTCAAAGAATTCGGACCCATCCTTTACTTTCTCCGCAATGAACAATGATTAGTCGCGATCCTTTGTTTGCAGGCTTGTTAGGTGTACACATTATCGAACCATCAGTCCACCCTTTCGTAACTGTGTCGTGAGTGTTATACCAATTTTTGTCCAAAAAGGAAATTGGCCGTTGTTCTTGTCTATATTCAGTTATTTGTTCTGAGTATTTGTTACACAATTCCACTATTCTTCTGCTTTCCATAACTAATGTTTGTTTATTATTTTGAATCCAAATCCTAGTTTCTTTATCCAATTCTGAAGAGTTTTGTCACAGCAGCTCACGTTATGGCCGGAAGTATTCTATTTCTTCTTTATGATTTCTGTTGTAGGAATCTCATTGCTTTTGTAACAGTCGTATATACCTGCATGGGATTCACAAATATATGACTTGAACAAGGCTTCTAAGACGGTCCGTTGCAAAGCTAAGCTTCGACATTAACCATCAAACGAAATTTGCCTTCTGTCTTCCAGTGTAGCTTCCACTGGAAGGTAACTAGTTGAAACAGGAGCCCATCTAACCCCGAATTATCATCGGACATGGCAGTCTTAACCACGACTCAACACGCCTGACACGCCTGAGTAGCAACAAAGAGGTCTGGTGTTGGATAGCGAATTATTTGTTTTGGCCTCTGGTTTGAACTAGTTGCTTCGCAGTGAAAGATGCAGGACGATTCTCGCTTGGTGACCAATTTCGAAGCTTAACATTGCAAAGGACCGCCTTGGGAGCTTCGTTTATCTTTGATATTCATGAATTGATTATTTTGTCGATCCCATAGGTTGCGTCTTCATACAGACACAATTATGTCGCTGGAATTGCATAGGCTACTTCTCGAAATCTTGGAACACTGTTCCAAACTGAAAAACTACGCACCTCAGCAAATTTTGATGCTTTATAGAGCTTAAATCAGACCTTCTCTTGAGTATTGTTCTCATGTATGGAGCTCCGCCCCTAAGCATACCCTGAAGCTGATAGATTTCATCCAGAAAAGAGCCATCTGCCTGATTGGGACACGAACATCACTCGCAACTTTGATAGTATCGAAGAAAGGTTGAAGATTTATCTCCCTTTTTTAGATACTTTCAGGGGAGGTGTTCAAGTGACTTGGCACGTTTGATTCTACCAAGAGCGGTACATATCAGAAATTCGTGACGTACTGTGGCTGCTCATCGTTATGAGGCTCAACTCGGTACACCTCTAACTGTTTGAGAACTCTTTCATCTGGAGGACTGCGTTTATGTGGAATAAACTTCCTGAGAACGTTTTTCCGATCTCCAGAGATTCCAACCCAACGTGAATCGCTAGTTTCGCGCTCTTAGAGCGCCTTAAGGATTTTCCTGTAGTGCTTGTGTTCAGTCAGGTCAGTTGAGTTCTGCAAAGCATTCGTGCTCCAGCCTGATGCCGATGCTGAGACCTACGGCTTGTCAAAACACCACTATCTTGTGTTGTATTATTTATGCTTTATATTTGGGCCCGGGTTTCAACTGGTTACCTAACAGTTCACAGTTACTATGAGTTCATTCATTTTTAGGTAGCACCATGCGAAAAAACTTACGTTTTTCAACCTACCCAAACTAACTATGATGATGGAAGTGACTTGGCTCAACAATATGCCGATACCAATAGGTCTTCCAGAAGTTTTCTTCAAGAAATTCAAAAATTATCTCAGCTCAACATTCCAAGGATGAGCAATAAATGTAGTTACACCGTTTTGACTGGATGTGCAGGCGACAGCACTGAGAGCTTATTGAAACAACATGCCAGTCCACAGGGAGATGTTGAGATCATCGATAGCGAGATAGCCACGCCATCCAGAGGTAATATATGATTCAAATATATTATACATATTGACATGCTTTAAAAAAATTAAAAATCGGCCGATTGGTTTCAACTATTTTGTTGTTGATACTCAAGGTGTATTTGAGTATACTCCTGATGAGCAACAAATTTGAAACACGCTTCATTCCAAAGAAAAGCAGTTTCAAGGTAGCAAGAATGAGGAAAATGAAAAAAAAAAAAAATAAAAATCGGCCGATCGGTTTCAACTATTTTGTTGCTGATACTCGAAGTATATTTGAGTATACTGCTGGTGAGCAACAAATTTAAAACACTTTTCATTCTGAGGAAAACCAGTTTGAAGATAGCAGGAACGAGGAAAATGAAAGAAAAGAATTAAAAATCGGCCGATCGGTTTCAACTATTTTGTTGCTGTTACTCAAGGTGTATTCAAGTTCACTTTTGGTGAGCAACAAATTTAGAACATCTTTAATTCCAGGAAAAAACAGTTTCAAAATAGCAGGATCATGAAAAATTAAAAAAAAATCATTTAAAAATTCTTCGCTATATCCAAGGTTTAGCAACTAAATAGCAACTAAATATTCTGTAAAGATCAAAGGGAAAGTTTATAATTTATTGAGTCACCTTGCTACCTTGATATCACGATAGCATTATTTGCGATTTCTAAGGATAGACACGAGCAACAAAATTGTTATTTTGGTAACTATTTAGCAACTAATTAGCTACAAATTGATGTATTTCCTTTTGCAATTTTGCTGGATTCGCCTTGCTAGCCTGACAGGGCTGTTTTGCGAGGACTGTATTGCATTATAGTATATTATTTTTTTATTTTCTTGCTTGGTACTTGCTCTCTGTATTTCCCTTGATCCCTACGAAAGGTTTCCTCTTGTACTTTCTGCTCGATTTCTTCACCTATCTGTTTGACATTTTTCTTGTCTTTGACGTTATCGTAGGTAAATGAGTCGCCATTAAACACTAGCTTGTTCTTGTAGAGTTTCGTTTGGTAATTTTTCGCTGCCGCCAAATTCTTGAAGAATCGCTTTCTCTAATTGTGTCGGTCTAGAAGGACACTCAGCTTGTTTTTTTGAAACGTCTGGTGAAACGTCTTTCTGCTGGAATATATCTTTTAAAATATCTTGCTAGATAGAGTCGACGGGCTTCTGCAGTATCTGCTACTCCATAAACGAAATTCCTTTCAGCTAACTCAACTTGATAGTATGTACTATATATACTATGATTCCAAAATAGTAGGCAATAAATTCCTAGAAATGATTGACGTTTTTGTCTTGATCTGTCTCTTGTAGTGGCGTACGGAAATCATACTGAACGGATGAAGAAAAATGATAATGAAATATATAGAATCACAACCTTTACAACAATGTTTTCATTTCAACGCAATAATTCTGAGAATTAAGTGCCGACTGTCATGGAATTGTACAATCACGCTTGTATACTGGAATAATTTGTTGATACTACTAGTCACCTACTGTCAACAAATTTCACGATATTAGTGACATGTACCTACTGTGGTTAACAATCAGCATTCTCTTAATAGCAGGGGAGCCCACGATGCAAAATGGGGATTCACTCGAGCGTCATTGAGATATATTAGGTTGCAAAGCTTAGATGATATGAAGAAAAAAATGTTATATAATATATACCTACCTTTCCATCGGTGGGGAAAGCGGTTATAGATTTTTAAATATGTAAAAAATACTGTTGCATGCACATTCTCAAGCGCGTCAGATATTGATAGCATCAATGTCTTACGTATTTTTATTAATGTTGGTATGTTAATCTGATCGTTTGCATGATCGAGCGCATCAGATTTTCTAAGGGAGTTTTAAGTGCAACAAAAAAAANAGAAGTTATTTCAACCTTGCTAGATTTGACAAATAATTAAATGAAAAGTAAATAATGTGTATTCCTCATTTTCATACACATTCAATTGTTACTTCGATAAAAATAAAAATTATGAATGAAAAATTTTTTAAGAGAAGCATTTATACAAATGCAATGAAAATGAAAATCCAATTCATAGAGAAGATGATACCTATAACAACATAGGCCTTCACGGTTGAAGTTACGATTGAAGAGGACAAAATGCATGCTTCAAAATGCAGTGCTCAGGTGGAACCTAAAGTAGACTAAACGTTTGGCCCTTCAGGTTCCATTCTTGAACTTGAATTTTGTTCTCTTCAAATAGAAAACCTTATTGAACTTAATCAAAGTTGGTCAACCAGAAACCCTATTTTCAAAACAACAAATCTTATTCTAATGAAACTGAACCTGAACCAATAAGGTTGCTTAATGCTTTTAACTAACATTTTCGAGATAACTGGTATTTCTGTATATCCGTAAAACCCAATATTGACTATTATTACTCAAATGAAGTTAGTAAATAGGCAGATTTGGTACATAAATAGAATGAACTCAGATACTGGCTTAGAATAGTTTAGTTTTTGTACCAATTTCAATTAGAATTTAGGATCAATTTCGTCCAAAAGTCCGTTCACTAGCTCAATGCTGCTAAAATCTTCATATACTTATGGTGTGGAGTGTATGTAACATGAAAACGAAACGGAAATATTTTGTATTATATCGATTAATGATTGTATTATAACCTAATTATTGACGTCAAAGTACTATTTTCGGTTATACTGCCAGTATTTTTACCTTCCAGATTGGTCATTTCAAGGGACTCTCTTCAATTTGAACGTATACGATGTCTGTTTAAAAAATAAGGTGATTTTTTTCTACAAAAATTTCAAATGATTTATCGATTTCTATTTGTCTCCTACAAAGTAGTCTCTCTCAGATGTTACACTTGTGCCATTTCTCACAAAACGCCGTACTTTCATGGATCTCTTCAATCTTGGAAACAGGAAAAAGTCGCAGGGGTGCAAATCTGGTGAATGCGGTGGGCAGTAGCATTGGTGTGATGCTAAAGCCGTAAATTGTTTTTCCACAATAACGGACGTTTTCTTCGAATTGATTTTTGCAATCGCTCCGTAACTTCAAGATAATACTCCTTATTGACGGTACGACAATATGGCAAAAACTCCTGGTGCACTACCTCACGGTAATCGAAGAAAATAGTTAACAAAATTTTGGCTCTTCTGGGCTCTTCCATTGCTTTGCTGAGACGACAGTACCCTTGTCTTGTCATTCCATTTGGATTCCAGAACATCGGCTGCGGATGCACATCTTCACCAGCAGCAGGAGGTTGCATATTCTAATGAGGATATGTATTTTCCATTGAGGATCTAGAGGTGATTTCGAATTGAGGTGAAAGTAACCAGGTTCAATTCAATGCCACAAAAACCCAGGCATCGGTTTTCTCCAAGAAGATGAATGTCTCCAAACCCGATATAGTTATGTAAGGACAGACATTTCCGCTTTTTGCTTCGATAAGTTTGTGGGGGGTTAAAATGGACACCAATATGTCTTGGTACAATCACGTCGGTGGAATTTCAAAGGCTGCTTCTTAAAAGTTTGGAACACTGTTCCGAATCAGAAAACTGTACACACCTCAGCAACTTTTGATGCTTTATAAAGCTCAGATCAAACCTTCTTTGGAGAATTGTTTTCATATATGGAGGCCTGCAAGCATACCCTGAAGCTGCTGGATTCCATCCAGAAAAGATCCATCCGCTTGATTGGAGACACGAACATCACTTGCAACCTTGATAGCCTGGAACATCTTTCACTTTTACGGGAAGTGTTCAAGTGACTTGGCACCTATGATTCCACCAAGAACGGTACATATCAGAAATACGCGACGGACTGTGGCTGCTCATCGTTCTGAGGTTCATCTCAAAAAACGATTGTATTTTGGTTTCGATTTCATAACCATATACACATTATTCGTCACCAATTATGACCTTTTCGTGCAAATCTGGATCGCCGTTGACATTATTCTACAAATCCTAAGCGATGCTCATATATACGACGGTTTTTTTGACTGGAAATTCAGCAGTTGTGGAAATTTTCTGACTCACAGTACATTCACCGTATGCCACTCTCAACAACCCAAGTGTTTTTGAACACATAACTCAATTTTCATTGTTCTCAAGTTCACTGAACTAACGTGACTTGGAATCTCTACACTTTTTATTTACTTTTTTCATTGTATTTTTATCCAATACTTCTACAAAACGTTTATTTCCTTAACCATACAATGATAATTCAAATACCTTCAAATCTCCTGGAGAGTATGGTAAATTTTCAGCTCTTCTTCAAAACGGGCTGAAAATGATATTACCTATTCTCATTAAATTGCATAAAGCTAGTCTGGCGTGGAACTATATACAACCTGGCTGCAGCAAGCGTGGTATATATACTTGAAGTGGTTCGGAAAGACCCACACCCTAAATCGGTACGACCAATCAGCCTTACATCCTTCCTGTTGAAAGGACTTGAGAGAATATTGGATAGACACATCAGAGAAAATTTCCTAATCCCTTGATAATAAGGAGATTGCGGTTGCTCGCAACCGCAACTGCTCGATATTGGAGCAGCATTCGACCATACACTACCTAAATCTATATGATCATCTCTGGCTAGGAAAGGTATAGAATCGACTATGACTGGCTGGATCTATTCCATGATAGTAAACAGAACTGCAACTACGACTCTTCAAGGTGGGGTACTACCTCCCCTTCTGTGGTCGCTCCTGGTGGATAGTCTGCTTGATGCCCTCGACAGAAGAAAAGTTGATCTGCAAGCTTATGCAGATGACCTTGTCATCCTGGCAAGGTCCACGTCGAAAAGGGTAGCTTGTAATATCCTCCAAAGCACGCTGGACGTTGTTCACAGTTGGTGCATGAGGAAGCAGATGTCTGTCAACCCTAGCAAAACTTTGATGATTCCCTTCACAAGGCGGCAAAAATTGGACGATCTAACGATCTAAACAAATCATTCGGATTTATGTGATGATTGTAAGACCAATGCAATTGCCTGGTGGTCGAAGGCTTTTCAGAAAACGACCCAGGCGAAGCTTTCTGGCTTACAGAAACAAGTTTGTCTGGAGATCAGTCAGCGGCTATGGAGATCCTTCTAGATCTACCTCCTCTCCACCTACTTCTGGAGAAAGAGGCCAGATGGACTGCATACAGACTTGTGCACATTGCCAATTGCACAAATCAATTCAATGCAGAGTGCAACAGACTGTTGGTTGACATTGGAAGTCACAGCATTCTGGAAATGACATCTGACTTTATGCCTCCAACTGTCAACTACAAACTGCCTTCTCCTGAGTAGGGAGGACTGAATTTTCTGGGAGAAGGAAATATTAAGAGCAGATAGTTATTCGTTCACTGATGGATGAAAAAAACCTTCTGGTTCTGGTGCAGGTGTTTTCAGTCGCAGACCCAGGACAGAGATATCAACCTGCTTAGGAAGCTATGCGATTGTATTTCAAGTGGAAATTTACGCTATTGAATTGTGTGCGGGGAGATTGGAAGAATCCAACCTCATTATTCTTGGACAGTCAAGTGGCATTGGAAGCTCTTGTCTCCCACCGAGCAATGTCTGAATATACCAGAAGCTATACCAAACGAAGATTGCATAATGCATGCATAATTTGTGTATTCAAAATTGGATTTCTCGTGAAGCAGTCGAGAAATTGCATAGATATCGTACAAAAATCTGATTGAAACGTTTCAATCATTTGAGTAAATATTATTACACAATAATTGTTTTCTTCGCCAAAAACATGATGATTGGAAAATATTTTCCATTATAATTCAGTATGAAATGACTCTGATAATGATACTCCAACATAAAATCTAACAAATTGAAAGTACTTATTTTCAGTTTTTCGCAACGAATAAAAAAACGGAGTTTGTTGATCTCTTTCTGACTTACCTGTAGTATGTCATGAATATTCCCAAAATTAAAAATGTTGGGGAGGTTGATATTTATTTCTATATGTTATAAGAAAGTCGCATCATGCAACTATTATAACATAACTGTGTAGTCAGAGTTTGTCTGTCTAATTCTGACTCACTCTGAATTGTGAAACAATATTTGAGTGTGCAGGCCAAATGGAAGAGCATAGGTGAGTCAAGATTAAAAAAAGCACGCTAGGATGTACTCACTGTTTTCTTCGAGTATCGTGGCGTTTATGAGGAGAAATACTGAGAAAACGGATGGTTAAAAACCAATTCATGGCTTTTGCATCACGATTAATGCATCTTCTCGCTCATCATTGCTTGTTCACAAATGAAAATCGGACACTTTTGATGTCATCGATGGAATTCATCGATGTACACAGATGACAAAAGGAACAGTTTGAAGCCGGTGACTAAAGGAACATGTGTATTGTTAACTGTTCCGTCTTCACCAGTTTTTTTTTTATTCTATTTTTTATTTTCATTTTTCTCTTTGTGTATTTGTCTATAGATGATTTTCACTCAATTTGCAAAATTTGTATTCAACGCGAAATTCAGTTGTGTTTCCTATTCTAATTGAATAAATTGAGCGCTCCTCGTATCAATATATTTCGTTGGTCGCTGAAACAGTAGCAGAACAATGGGGATTCGATATATAGACTCGCTACAGAAAGCATCTCAGGTCATTCGACAACCTACTCAATGAATTAAGAAAGTTCTTGGCCAGCTAGTGTTGTGTGATCCAACGGGTTCTTACGATCATCCTCCTGGAACCAGAAGTCTCTCTACAAGCCGCTACTAGAGCCGATATACACAGCCCCCACGTGGCTGTGGTTCTCACCCGAGAACATACGTGGTTCTCTCTCTTATTTGTGTCCTGAACAAAATTCTATTGGGAATTTCCTCAAATTATACAAACCTATATTATAATACAGTCCACTTATCTAATGAAGCTACATGAACAATTCATGTGACTGATTTATTAGTTTCAATTATTCATTTGCATTTTATTTTTCAATCCGTACTGTACCCGAATATTTTGTGTAAATTGTTAAAGCATTGTTATATTATTTGCCATGCAAAGGATGAACGATTTTACTAATTAAATTCATATTTTAATGAATAGCACAACTGATCCGAAGCATCAATTTGAAATAGACATTCATGATTGATTTGTAATTGAATATTTTGATGTCAAATGTGGCGTTCTATGTACTTTGTACAGCTAAAGCCTTGTTAGTGGCACTTGTGCTCGTGCATATTTACATATTTTGCAAATTGTCTATTGCACTATTGCACTATTTTCATATATTCTGCACTGATTTGAATTTGTCACATTCACGAAAAAAAAAAAGTATCAAAAACTTTCAGAGTTTCAACCTGGACGACTGAATTGTCCCATACTTGATGAAAATTCATTGAAAATGTTATCAACTACACATTTTTTTGAGCTCATTCTAACTGCTCTACTACTAAAATTCATTATATCTGTTCAAAATCTGTTTGAAATTTGTTTTTCGTTAACCAGCTGTCGCACCCCTACGAACGTTAGTCCTAAGCTCGCACAAGTTACGACTTGTATGAGCTTACCTTTCAACGTGTGATTCCTAACGTTGTAATTACTGACAGAATATATGTAACCATGTTTATTGATCATTCACCTGTATCTGTAGAGTAGGGAGGGTGGGTGTTGACCCACAGCACTTAGGCCACATGTGACATCCTCCCGAGGAGTTGTCCTCCTAGGTCATCGTCCATCCTGTCCTTTCCAGGAAGGTTGACAGGTCACTAGGAAACATCTACTTTATATTGGCAGGTGTAGGCCAAGACTTGTCGAACACACACTCTCTTTGGCAACCTTGAGGTGTCTCACGATGGCCTCCGTGAAGGTTTTGGAAGGTGCAGCGACATTACTGTCGTTGCGCGGCTTTTTCAACCTTCTTGAGGTTCCCTCAAGGGAGTTTTCCTGCAGGGGCAGCCGGTTCCTTGTCTTTATTCAAGGCAGAGCTCTAGGCGCCCGCCGCAGGAAGTTCCCTTGCTGTTGGGGGTGTAGTGGGGGAGGAGGGGGTGCACTTATATTTGCTGCCATTTCTGCATCCCACGCTCTCTTTCTCCTTTTGGCCTCGGAGCCACAAATGCGCCTTGGCCTTTGTATTACATCACGAGGTGATCTGCTATGTCCAGCCTCATTCCAAGCGGTAGATTGGGGTGGGCATTTCTTTTCATCCCCAGCCACCGCCTTAGATTGAAGTGAGCACTTCTGTCCAGCTTCGGGATTGGTTTTTATTTTTATTGTTTCTGTTTTTCTGTTTGTTTCATTCATGTGTGTTCCCACAAGGAGCAAGGGTAGAGTTGGTCACCTCTGCCACTGACAAGGAGTCCGTCCCTAAGCCCATATATTGGCTTCCTAGACAGGGTGTTCAGCCCCTGGTCGTTCCCCTATCCGCCATCTGGGGTCGCGCCCGATAGGTAGCCCAATCCACGGGTATTGATCATTCATATGAAACTTAAAAAAAATACGTGACTACTGATTACTAAGTACGAAAAAGTAAACCTGAGTAAGCTCTCTCATTTGGTCATAGTGGAAATTTATGAAGCAACAAACTACTGTAGGATCTATAGGATGTGAGATGAGATTCATCAGTTCGTCTTTGACATTATCACGACGTTACGGCGAGATCCTATCCACTTGCCATATTCATGTGCTCTTCTCGGTAGCTGAACTTGGAACTGAAGTCAAAGAACTATCAATCGAGGCGATAATTTCTGGCGCAGAAGCAGCTGTTGATCACCTGTCGAAAATAGAAGCTGAAGAACTACGATGAGATATAGACGGAGTACTTGAAACCAGTAAACTACCACAACCAAATCTAACTGAGCAAGAATTCAAAGAACTCAGAAAACTCAGGGAGTACACTGACATCACGAAACTACATGGAGACAAAGCCAACGCTAACGTTATTTTGTACAAAGAGAAATAAACCAGAAAAATGAAAGACATTTTGAAAGATGAGGTATATAAACAGATCACTCGAGAACCCTACAACCTATATGGAGAAAACCACAAAAAACAAAAATGAAAGAGTTACTAATAGCCACTTGCAAGATACCTGGTCAACATATTGCAGCCAATAACACAGCATACACAATCATATGTCAAGAACTCAGTATTTCATCAGCTTCTTTGGAAACATCACAATGGACACAAATGATATATGTGCCAGCGCGGACATGATATCTTTGCCAATGATACCAATGAATGAAGCACGAGACCAGATAGCCATGAACGAGGACCTACCAGCTCACGTCAACTCTCGGAAAACTGTTTGAAAAACAGCTTCAACAACAAGTTTTATGCACGCACAGACAGAAAATTCCAATGGGTCACGAATAATGCCTTTGCCATCGTTGCCCTAGCCCGAAGGCCTTTCAACTGACATCTTCCCACTGTCTAGCGCCACCATTGTCAAGGGAACCCCTACTCCTCCGAACTCTCCTCCCCCACCGCATCACCGCCGCAGAACGACGCCAACGCACTGGGACGAATCAGCGACCCATCTCTTTATTTCCACAAAACAGTTTACAACAGAATTCTTTACAAACTAAATAATTTGAGTTTCCTAATTACAATACCAATAACTTAAATTTATAAAAATAAATAAACTAAAGAAACATTTCTTCTAATCAGCCATAATGCAATAACAAATCAAAACTAATTTTCTCTCCCACCCCATATTCCCTTTTTATACCTCACAATATAACGTCATATGCCGGATTCTTATACATTTCCCAGACTTTTGTCCAGCCCTGACCAGGATAACCGCCCCGTACCTCAGAAGCGACCTTTTCTCGTTTCCTCACTGTGCTGGTAACTTGCCCAAATCATTCCCTTTCTTCCCTCACCACACTGTCTGCCTATTCATTCGCAAATCGTATCCATTCATTCTTTTTCCCGTTTTCATCCCTTAAACTCATTTCGCCATTCACCCTCTCCATTCTTTCCTTCCACTCTCTCCATCCAATCCTATCCCCTATCATACATCTATCGATCACGGGATCTACCGTCTCCGGCTCCCCATACTCACACAGGCAGGGAACCTCCGGGCCCAGGTTAAATCGCCCCAGGTATCCCGGAAAATTCCCATGTCCCGTGAGAAGCTGGATCGCCTTCCGCGACAGATCCAATGATTCATTCCCGACTGTTCTACAGATTCTGTGGAACTGTCGCACCCCTCTCATTCCCTTTGCCATTCCCTCTTGATGTTCTCTTTTACACGCTTTCTCTCATCCAGTTTGCTGTGTGTTTGCCTTACATGCAGTGAGACCTGCTCCTTATTCATGCCCATATGTGCCTCTTCATGCGCCTTCACGTTTCCCAAATTGCCGGCTTCGTGTCCCCTCCTCCATATAATTTTGGTACGTACTCCCCTTTCTCTCCTTTCCTCAATCATCCTCTGTATCCTTGCTATCCTTTTATTCACCACTCTTCCTGCATTTACTCTTTCAACAGCCACCGCAGAGTCACTAAGAACTCTCAAATTCTCCTCCATACTCCACATGCCAATCACCCGCTCTATTGCTGCTGACTCTGCTTCATTCACGCTGCTTTGCCAGCTGATCCTTTCATTCTCTGTAGTCCACTCAACCCCTCTCCTTTTATACGCCCATCCCATTCCAATGGGTCAATGGATCTGTCTTTTTCAACTTACCCATGGGATATTTCGAAACCAAGGTCCTCTACAACCCCCCGATGAAACTCAAGACATGGCTGAGATATGTCGATAACATTTTCATTTGGCCTCATTAGCATGAAGTATTTGACAGATTCGTGGCATACCTAAAGTTACTCCACAAGAAAATACAGTTCACCACAGAAATAGAAAGAAACAACGAGTTACCTTTTCTTGATGTTCTAGTTAGAAAAAAACCCAACGAAGAAATTCAGCACACAGTATACAGGAAACTAACGCATACTAACAGATACCAGAACGAGAAGTCGCATCATCATCCTGCACAAATACAAGCAGTAGCCAATACCCTTGTATCCAGATATCCGTTTAACAGACGAAAACACATAATCAAAGAAATGAAGGAATAAAAGACATACACAAAGCTTTTCAGCAGAATGGATATAAAAAGCATACAATTCACAAAGCAACACACCGAAGCAAAAAGGAAAACAAGGAGAAACAAACGCAGAAGAAACCAAAGCCATCCTACCTCACGTCAGAAGAGTTACAGAAAAAAAATTGAAACAACACAACATAAAAATAACATATAAAGAAAGGAGATCCATCAGAAATTCCTAGAACAACCCAAAAGATAAGGTAAACCTAGAAAACCAAGGCATGTGCAAAATCGCATATGGAGATTGTAACGACAAATACGTTGGCCAAACAAATAGGCGAATATCATTCAGATTAGAGGAACACAAACTCGCACTTCGCAACAAACATACATTTTCCGTCCTATACAAACACCTCCCTAATACGGGTCATACCATCGACTTTAGAAACTGCAAACAGAATGCAAACCGGAATGATGAAAAAGACAATAGAAATTGAGAAGGTCGGCAGTCAAAACAGAAGTGATGATGCACACTAACTCTTGGATGTATGGGAAATCATCATATCCAAAACCAAAGCCAGTGCATCACCAACAGTAAACTCACAGTCCGGATCAATCGACCGATCAGGACTTTCCACGCCACAGCAACGTTAAAAAACAAATTCCTTCAGTTTCAAGTTCAGCTACCAAGCAGAGCACAAGAATATTGCAAGTGGGATCTTAACGAAACTTCGTGATGTTATCAAAGACGAATGGATGTACGTTACATAAGGAAGGGGCGGACCATTGGCTATTGGCCTCGCCAGCACGATGTAGCAAAAGTGCAAAATGGGCAACACGTAGTTTCCAAAAACAGGAAAACAGTACAAGTGAATGGAGTCACCAACAGAAGCCTATCGCACATTTGCGGTTCCAGTTAGGATACCTAGAATTGCAAGGGTGTCCTAACATCACCACGAAGGCAACAGAAACAGGTGTCCTCAGTCTATCTCTCCATTTTAAAGAGTGCTGTTCCGTTCAACTCCTTGATGAACCGAAAGTAAGTCAAATCTAAAATATTGTAAACATGACAAGGTCGATACAAATCGGCAAAGATTTACGTTAGAATACGAAAAGCGGCAAATTCATTGAAGTGATAATTAAAAGGGTCATAAATCAGATAGTCGAAGTCGCGAAGACTGTCTAAAAAGACAGTCTAAAGTAAAACCTCGTCCAGTACATATCGAATCAGTGCGTGATGTACCTAGTAGTAAAATTGAGTCTGTAATCAAACCCCGTTGGGTACACATCGAATCAATGCGTAATGTGAAAACGAATTAGTTCAGTTCCGGTCACCTGAATATTGAATTCGGTCTTGAGTATGGAAAAAGATGAAATGTGCGAAAGATAGAGTTAGTACTATATATTCCCTATCATATGTAATGATAGATTCGTATAACATCCAGCTACCCATGAGAAATCATAATAATAATAATAGTAACGCAGGACTCGATACAATATAAGCGTAACCTCTTTATGGCCTGGATCGATTACCGTAACGCATTTGATACAATTTCGCATGAGCTCATCTTGAATTTGCTCAGATGTCTTGCGGTACTCGATAAAATAGTGAGATGCATGGCGAACTCGCTTCACCATAACATCTGGTTACGCCCAAACAGCGTGGGTCACTTTCAGAAGGGTTCAGAAGGGTTTCAGGGCGATTCCCTCAGTCCCCTTCTCTTCTGCATTTCACTATTGCCATTAGCCGTTACGCTTAGAAATACTCGAGGGTATAACTGTGGTACACCCGGAAACCGGAGGCACAAGATCACCCACTATGGAGAGAAGGATCTCCAACAGTCCTTGAGGGTGGTGGAAGAGTACACGCATGCTATCGGTATGAAATTCGGGATAGACAAATGAGCAATGGCCCATCTCAAAAGAGGACGATGCGGGAACTACGGAGTAGATGTGCAGCTCGTAGATGAAAGCATCCTACAGTATTTGGGAGCCGGAGAGACGTATACTTACCTCGGGATGAAACAACACCACTCACAAGAGGGAGCAACAGTGAAGAACTCTCTACGCGGCAAGTATCAGCACAAACTTCGACAGATCTGGTCATTGGAACTGTCGGGGAAGAACAAAGTTGCTGCAATAAATAAGCTTTCCGTTCCAAACTTACTCTACTCGTTTGGAGTAGTCAGGTGGATTCGGGAGGAGCTGTATGAACTCGACGTAAAAACCCGGAAAATTATGCATTTCTATAGCAGTTTGTATTCCAAATCGTCCGGTCCATGGTTGTACTTCCCCTGACAACAGGGAGGCCGTGGACTTTTGAGTTTGGAGTGTGTACATGACAGAATGGAACTGGATATAGCCTGTAAAGTCGTCAGGAGTTTGGATCCTTTTCTCTGCATGTTCCGTGACCATGAGAGAGCAAGAAGTGGAGTATTTCTCTTCAGGGCAGCTGCCCGAGCAGCTGATGAACTTGGTTTAGTTTTCGACACTGAACGAAGTGACCACAACTCTATCACTGCGTTGGAACCCGTCCAGCAATAAGTTCTTATAAAAGCCGCAGAGATCACCTCACTTCTGCGGAAACACAAGGATAAGCAAATGCATGGAGTCTTTCTCAATAACACTAGAAAACTTGGCTCATCAAAGCGCCTGACTTTCGCTTTTTTCAGGTTGAGTGGGCTGAAGTCGGAAACTGAGAGGTTCATTATGTCTTACTAGGATGACGTTTTCAACACCTTAGTCTACCGCAGTCGCA